CCCCTTAAATTAAAGCTGAAAGTCTGCACTTCAAATTTATTTGGATTGTTTCGTTTTAATGTATTCTGGTGGCATACAGAGCCAAAACTATGAAAATTTTGCCTGTTTCCAAATATATATGGACCTAACTATATAAAAAAAAAGAAAGTTTTTTGTGTTTGTTTTTTGTCAGTTTGTGTTTTTTATTGTACAGAATATAACCCACTTTGCAGTGATCTGTTTTCACTTTGATATAAAAGAATCTATTTCCGTTGATCACTGTAAAAAAAAAACAAATTAAATGCACTGTGATTTAATATTCTTTTACAATAAGACATGAAATCCTCCATGGGGGTGAATGCCTTTTAAAGGGACAGTATGCTTCACTCAAAGAAGACATTTGTGAATATTAAAGGATCCATATCCCTATCTGTGCCATTTTGCTAGCACTTGTGTGCTTGATGTAAAACTGGTGAACCTCCCCATCATCCATAGCATCATCTTTGACACCAGAAACAGCTAACCTGCTACCTAAATCAGCCATTCAACTGGGGTGAAGTGAATTTTAGCAAGTATGTTAAAGGCTGCACTATCATGTGTTTTGGAATGGTACCAAGGTGTCGGTGCATTTACTAAATTGTGTATAGCAAAGCCTGAATGGCTGTGGATTCTTTTTTAAATTTTTCCCCAATCACTTTTAATGTGGAGAAAACAAAAACTGTAAGGGCCAGTTCATACAGATACCATGCTCAGAACCACATAAAATTGCAGTAGGCTCTCAATTTCTTCAGAAAGGCTTTGATTTGCCTTTAAGTTGCTGTTACATTCACACTATCTTGTATAGAGAAAAGCCATGTCTGACACTTGTCACCAGAATGCTTGTGATATACTGCTTCCAGAGTAGACCCAAGTGTTTAGAGCCTAATTAAGTTCACATGACATTTCAGAATGCCTCCTGAATTGTACAAATCTGAACTCTAATATTCATAACATACCAGTATTTTTTCTAATGTAAAGCCGTGCAGAATAAAAGGGGTAGGATTTTGTAGAAAGGCGAGGTATATTGTCTATTGATCTAATACGAATACCTGTAGAGTGTGAGATGTCCAATATTTAGAATTATGACTTCTGGAGAGAGATACCAATTCAAGGAATAGGACGGACATTGGGCAACAGAGGAGTTGTAAGAAAAGAATGGAAGAACCAAGGAAAGTGGGACCTTTTTTTGGGTGGAAGGGGGAAAGGTGGGGACAGGGTGAACTAGCATGAAAACGCTAACAATTGTTTTATTTTTTTTAATTATAGATTAATTAATGTATGATGAAAGTCTTTGAGCATATGGTGCTCTATGCATAGGGACAATATTTTTCAAAATTGGTTGACAGAGGCATGAAGGATGAAATATTCACTGAATAACTGCCAAATAATTTTGTGTTTAATTTTAATAAATGTAGGCATTGCCTTTTATGTTCAATATTCATAGGGAATACCCCTTGCCTTTTTTTAGTGACTTCAAGGCTTCTTGTTAATTGTCCTTATTTCTTTCTTCATGGCATTCTCTTTAAAATGTGATTTAGCAGTCCATTCTTTATAGTTTCTTTAGACTGAACGTTCTCATTAATATGACCTTTCCCCGACAATCTGCTTTAAAAACATCACTTATTTGCAATATGTGCATATTCTATCAAGCATACGTTGCTGCAGACTTTCTAATGCTCGTCAATAGGGTGTACTGCCAAAATCTACAGTTGTACCAATCTGTGGGAAGCCAACTAATTTTCCTTTGGCACCTCAGTCTCACAGGTGTTTGGTGGAACTTCTTCCAAGGCATGTAAATGTCATTCAGCTGTGGAAACTGTAGCATTAAATGAGATTTACAAGGATTGTTTTTCTACTCTGACTAAAAAGTGCAAGATATTAAATTAAACCTAAACTGGCCTAATAACATATACAGTACACTCAGATAAGACACACATTCACAGCACATCATAGACAATAAACCTTGTCCAGTAAAGGTTACCAAAAAGTTTCTTATTGTATATTTTAATCTTGTGATAGTACATGTGCATTGTGTCAAAAGATACTCCAGGCAAACACACAACATAAAAACATATACAGGAACCGATCTACCTGCCAAAGGTTCTATAATTTTGTTTGACCACCCCTGACAGACAACGTAACTAAATCCTTGACCTTTTCTGCAGTTAGAGAAGACTAGTTTAAAGTAGACCTAGTTTTTGCATGCTGAGTAAAGTGTAAACATAACACGTATAGGTATTTATTATCCCTGATAAAGATCACAGAACTACCCCTTCATCTGTTATTGCTCCAGAAGGATGGGGTCATTTTAGTGCAGTTGTGGCACTGTAGTAGCAATTTTGGCAAACCAGAGAACTCCGGACACGGACTTGAGGAATACAAATGATTTATTAAAAAACAGCACTGTTTTGACCCAACAGACGGCTCGTGCTCTCATCTGCTAAGTGAGTTATAGAAAACTTATATACCAATGATTATGTCACAAAACATACATTTCTTCTTTCACTTTCTATTACTTTCAACAGGCTTTCTAAACTCTGCAGAATAACCTTGGACAGCAGCTACAGATAAGTGTCCCAGCTACGAGCTGGTACAACATAATACTCACAGGAAATAAGGGAGGGGGGAAGATAAGCCAAAAACCTTGTTTTTACAAACACAGGCTGCTAGACGTGTTAGAGTTTAAAGGGGCACTCTACAATATCTGGGTGCTACCACAGCGCAGGGTCAAAAATGTACTTCCTATGCTGACTTCCTGGCTTAGTGTATGCAATAATGTAAATTCTGACATCTGTGCAGTTCTTAGCTGTGTCCACAAATCTGATACAGCTCACCTCCTCTCCTGAAGATTCTCGCCTGATCACTAATCCTTTGTTTAAGAGGAGACTTGTGAAATGCCTTTTCCTGCTTGCAGTTGAGAGATATTATCTTAACCAAGTCAAGTCACTTGCCTGGAGCTCAAGCACTTATATTGATAAAAGGTAGAGCTTTTTTTGAAAATGATACTGTTAAATAATATTGTGACATGTCAGTAATGTACAGTATACAATACATGCAGTAAAATTAATGAGTGGATTACTTTAAAAGCACACACTCAAACTGCCGACTGCACAATGAAACATATTGATGAGGTCATCTCTCATATTACTCTGTTCTCTCCTTTCAGCATACTCACTGTGAGCACATGTGAACTGCAGCACAGCCCGATTGGCTTTTAGTGCTGGGTCCCCCTCTCCTAGTCTTGTGTGCTGCTGCACCATGGATTACAAGAGATCAATATGACAAAACGTGGCTGCTTCCACCAACTGCATTTAAAACACATTTAACTGGTTTTTATATCTGCCTCAAATTCAAATTTAAACAAGGTAGTAGATGGACAATGAACATACCCACAATATATAGCTATACTGTACAACATCTTTACACAAGAGTCCAATACGTCGATTCCCCTGTAGTGTTTAACCCCCTAGCAACTGAGGGTAAAGCAAATGTTAATGCCTGAACACAATTTTGCAACTTTGACATGTTAGTAAAACCGTACATATCATCACAACAACTTTGTGCATCCAGGTGGATTATGCGTTGTTATTTTCAGGACAAATTGGACTTTCTTCTTGTGGTACATAGTAATGGTTATCTATTTATTTATCAAAGGAAAACTGCCCCCCCAACAAAAATCTTAAATTTAGCCGTTTATTTATTGCTACTACCATAACCTACCACCAAAGAACAACCTAAAATACATTTTCCTGCTCCTGACGATCACAGCAATACCACATATGTGTATGTTAGTTGTTGTTTGTACCTGTAGTAGGGCCCAGAAACAATAGTGCAGATTTTGCTTTTTTTTTTACCCTGCTTTTTATCACTTTTTGCTTTTTTGATCACTAACTGACACATATACAAATTTAAAAAAGCTTTAAAAAAAAAAAATCATGGCCAAAATATACTATGACCTTTGACCCTTACTTGACCCAAACAATAACCCCACCAATGCCCGATATCAAACCTTGATCTAGCCATTATTTTTTTTTGTACACACTTGTTTATTTACATCTTTTCTCCCTGCAAGGAGAGAGAGATACCATGTATCTCTCCCTCCATTCAGAGAGAAGCAAAACACAGGGGCAGGCTGCACAGTGACTGATCACTGTGATAGCCACTTAGAGGTGATCACAGCAATGAGTTGACTTAGAACCAGAAGCCCCTGGCCCCAATCGTTGGTACGGAACCTGTGGTTCACGGTGAGAGCCTGGCCTCTGTGCTGGATGGGCGCAGTGCAGCATGCTCCTAGCGCAAAGAGAGGTATGCATAAATGCAGCCCTATGGATAAGGGCCCACTTCTGTGAGGCCACATATATGCATACAATGGGTGGGGAAGGTGTTAAAAGGGTTTTTCTTCTTCCATTAAACAGGAAATTTTTCAGTGGGGGCAATAATGAAACTGTTGAATTCATTGTGTCTATGGAGCAGAGATACATTTCTTATTGGTCAGGGATGACTAATTAAGGCTCTATTCACATCTTGACATTTCAGGAACACATATAAATTATGTATAAGGCTTGTGCTGCCATTCAATCTTAATGGCTCCCCAAATGTGGGTAGCAGTTGCACATTCTGTTGTGTGCCAAAATGCACATTTCAGAAACACATGAGGCTCACTGCAAAAAAAAACAAAAAAAAAAAAGTGCAGGAGCTACTTCGTTGCAATTGTCATATGTAGGGCAACCCATTCAAGTGAATCGGCTGCCCTAAACTATCACAGAAAAAAAAGCAGCATGCAGGTCTGAATGGGGCCTAAGAGTCGTTAGAATTATTGAAGTGTAACTTGTTTAGTGAGCAGGTACAAGCAGGTGTAAAGGACTTCAACATCTGCAAGGATTTTCCAATTGTTTAAAAAACATCTTTTGAAATAAAAACATTACTCAACTACGTGTTTTAGTTTAGAAATTTACAAACACAAAGATGACAAAAACACTTACTTTGCAACAATATTTCCCAGCGTGTTTGGCTTGAGTTCTTGCATTTGGCTATTCAATATTTTAACTGTGAATAAAAAGAAGAATATCTCTTGAATGGCTTTTTTTGCAGACTTCTCCAACTTAGAATTCTAAGGTATAGGTCTTTCAAACAAAATGCATTCAACAATTTAGTAAACTCTGCATTTTCCATTAACAATCCAGCATATCAAATGACTAATGCTAAACAAACACTGACAATGCAATTTGTGCAAGCGATGTGGTAATTTAGGCTTTACTAAATTTGTAAGTGATAATTTGGAAGTTTATGAGTAATTTAAATATAAACTTGTGATGTTCCACCTCAATGATTAAATCCCTACCATGTGCCAGACAGTATATTTCCCACTCATATCAATGAGGCTATCACATTTCTCTAGCTAAACAAGGGGTGTGCAGCAATGCTGGCCTTACTGGCCTAGGCTTGTCAAGTCTGCTACACAATGTTACATGAAAAAGATTCTTAGATGCATCTTACCGAAGACAGACTTTTTATGGCACTTTAAGTTTCCATCTTTCTAGTTTATTCAGTATTAACAATACCAAAGACTCTTGAATGTACCAAAAAGGTGCTATTATCTCTATCTCCATTTGTTTATGATCCAACATACTGTATTCACATGCCATACATAAATCTCATGCAATAAACTCATGTTTATTGCATGGGTTTTTTGTTCATCCAATAAACTATTACGCACCAAAAATATAAGGGTAACTGGAGGCTCCACTAATATAAACTTTAGTATTTAAACCTTTCAGCTGCTCCTCCAAAGACAGTGGTGCATACACTCATAGTTGTGCCCTTTATTACTGCCTTTCTCGACTAGGGGCTTCTCCTGAGGTTGCTATGGGTTCTTTGGGCAGTGGAAAAGTAATTTCCCACCTACAGTGATCAGCGCCGAAGCTATGAGGGGGGAACATGGACACGACATTGAGAGGGGTGCCATGGCTGGTACTGATCTTTCTGCAGCAGCTGAAACCCCTCGTCTCCTTCTCTACCTCCCACCAGCATTCAGCTGTTGCAGGAGGAAAAATATAGGGCCAGTACCAGTAAATGCCACCCCATGTCACTCCTGTCCATGCTCCTTATTCTTAAGCTGTCTAGTCCTCGTACTCCTCTGGACCCCCTCCCTCCTGTATTCTTCTGGCCCCCCACAGCGCTCCCCTCCTCTCCTGCCAGCTAGCTGTGCAACAAGCAGGTGAGCTGAATAAAGGCATAATCCTACTCAGTATGGAGAAGTTTAGCATGCAATCTGTAAGACAGCCACAAAATAGTTGCAACATAGCTTTACTCAGAACTTGTTCCCCTGGTCTTCTCTCTCCCCACTCTCCATCCTGCTGACTGCTGAGGGGAATCTATGCCGAAGAAGGTTATGTTGCATCTAGTTTGTGGCTGTCTTACCAATCACATGCTAAACTTCTCCAGTATGCGATCAGTAATGCCTTTATTCAGCACACCTGCTCACTGCACAGGTAGCCGGCAAGAAAGGAAGGGACCAGAGGAGGCACTGCAGGGGACCAGAGGAGTGGGGAGGGGGCAAGCTGCCTGCATGGCTATTGCCTGGGACTCTCTTTCATGCATGACTAAGCTTTTTCTTATTCCACCTGTCTATTGTATCAGTTGTTGCACACTAAGCATAGGGGGGTGCAGAATTGAGTCTTTGTCCAGGGTGAAAGAATGTCTAGCTTCCCCACTGAAAGTGACCAAAGTAAGGTATTACTTCTACCACTAGTGTTGAGGAATACCACAATTCTCACTATCAGCCTGTTTTCTTTTATACATTTCAAGAACATTACTGGAAATATTTTTTTTCACTTGAACTTTATTAACTTTATTCAGAATAACACAAAAAGGAACAGAAGTTTCAGCAAACAAATTCTACTGACAATTACATCATATGAACATTTCAGAGTATATATAAAGATAACTAAAATAAGTTTTTTGCGCAATACTGCTTAAACTTATGCAGCTTAGTCCGGGTAAGGAGATGGAGAGTGCAGCCCATAAGTGAGAAAAGGTTGTACATTAGATGCGAAGGAGAAATCAATAATAATCTAAGTAGAGTTAAAGGAGATAGAACATACAGTTGCAAGAAAAAGTATGTGAACCCCTTGGGATTACGTGGAGTTTTGCATGAATTGGGCATAAAATGTGCTCTGAATGTCATCTAAGTCACAACAATAGAAGAGCACAGTCTGCTGAACATAATACTACACAAACATTAGATGTTGCCATGGTTTAATTGCACATAACATGTAAACATTCACAGTGCAGGGAGGAAAAAGTATGTGAGGCCCTAGCTTAATGACTTCTCCCAGAGCTAATTGGAGCCAGGAGTGAGCCAACCTTGACTCCAATCAGTGTGATGATATTGGATGTGTTGCTGACAGCTGTCCTGCCCTTAAAAAACACACACACCTGTTTTGGGTTTACTGGTTTCAAGAAGCACTGTCTGATGTGAACCATGCCTCGCAGAAAAGAGCTCTCACAAGACCTACGATCAAGAATTGTTGACTTGCATGAAGCTGGAAAGGGTTACAAAAGTATCTCCAAAGCCTTGATGTTCATGTGTCCACGGTAAGACAGACTGTCTACAAATGCAGAAAGTTTAGCACTGTTGCTACTCTCCCTAGGCATGGTCGTCCTGTAAAAATGACTGCAAGAGCACAGCGCAGAATGCTGCATGAGGTAAATAAGAATCCCAGAGTGTCAGCTAAAGACCTACAGAAATCTCTGGCACGTGCTAACATTTTTGTTGACACATCTACAATAAGGAAGACATTAAACAAGAATGGAGTACATGGGAGGACACCACGGAGGAAGCCATTGCTGTCCAAAAAGAATATTGCAGCATGTTTGAAGTTTGCAAAAGAGCACCTGGATGTTCCACAGCACTACTGGCAAAATATACTGTGGACAGATGAAACCAAGATTGAGTTGTTTGGGAGGAACACACAACACTATGTGTGGAGAAAAAAAGGCACAGCACACCAACATCAAAACCTCATATCCACTGTAAAACATGGCGGAGGGAGCATTATGGTTTGGGGCTGCTTTTCTGCCTCAGGGCCTGGATGGATTGTTGTCATTGATGGGAAAATGAATTCCAGAGTTTATCAAGACATTTTGCAGGAAAACGTACGACCATCTGTCCGCAGAGGATGGGTGATGCAACAGGACAATGACCCAGAGCATACAAGTAATTAAACAAAACAATGGTTGCAACAGCACAGAATACGCCTTTTGGAGTGGCCCAGTCAGAGTCCTGACCTTAACCCGATTGAAATGCTGTGGCATGACCTTAAGAGAGCGATTCACACCAGACATCCCAAGAATATTGCTACACTGAAACAGTTTTGTGAAGAGGAGTGGTCCAAAATTACTCCAGATCGTTGTGCAGGTCTGATCTGCAACTACAGGAAACGTTTGGTTGAGGTTATTGCTGCCAAAGGAGGGTCAACCAGTTATTAAGTCCAAAGGTTCACATACTTTTTCCTCCCTGCACTGTGAATGTTTACATGTTATGTGCAATTAAACCATGGCAACATCTAATGTTTGTGTAGTATTATGTTCAGCAGACTGTGTTCTTCTATTGTTGTGACTTGGATGACGTTCAGAGCACATTTTATGCCCAATTCATGCAAAACTCCACGTAATCCCAAGGGGTTCACATACTTTTTCTTGCAACTGTATATATCGCCATTTGTAGACGCTATAAAACTTTCATGTAAACCAATTAATTTAAACAAATTGTGATTTTTTTTTTTTTAACTAAGACATGTAGCAGAATACATTTTGGCCTGAATTTATGAAGACGTGATTTTTTTTTATTGGATATGTTTTATAGCAAAAAGTCAAGATTATTGTTTTGGTTTTTTTTTTCAAACTTGCTGGTATTTTTTGTTTATTGCACAAAAAATAAGAAATGCAGAGATGATCAAATATCACCAAAATAAAGCTCTATTTGTGGGAAAAAAATTACATAAATGTAATTTATGTACAGTGTTGCATAACCACACAATTGTCAGTTAAAGTAACACAGCGCTGTATTGCAAAAAAATAGCCTGGTCATGAAGGGGTGTAAATCCTCTGGAGGGCAAGTGGTTAATAACTTCTTTTTTTTCCTGTGAAAAGGAAAAAAAAAAAAAAACACCAACAACAAAAAGAACAGTTCTCCTTAGTTTTTTTTTAAAAACAACTCCTCGAAATGCTCTAGATACATTAAAAGGTACAGGTCATACAGAAAGGAAGGAGAAGGTGAAAGGAAAGTGAGTGGGTTAACATACTGGTTACATACAATGGCAGGATAGAGACCAAAGGATTCCTTTTCAAGTGTGGAAAATAAGGGAGGTGAATGGGTTAATATCCTGGTCACATAGAGAATAGTATGTGTAGCAAAGGAAGGTGCATCAAAGGGTTAAAAAATAATTCCCTGTGTCACCGAAACAGAGTGAAGCTGTAGCAGTGGATCCATTCGTTCTTTCCCCATTCACAACTACCAATTGTAAGGAAAAGAGGAAGGAACAGCACAGTTACATGGTACTCAGCCCCTTGGACCGGCGCAGTACAGCGTCTATGTGTACCAAGCCATCTCAGCTTATACGCAATTACTGCGTAGATTGATCACCTGACAGCTACAAGATTTGTCTAGTATGGTTTATAAATGACACTGGGTAAATATAGGGCCACCAGAACAATTGATCTCTATACATTTTCCAGATCACTTAAGCAAAAGTCATTGGTCAGAAAAGGCAGCCTACACAATACAACCCAATCCATTTTTTATTTGAAAACCTGGCTCAGTGAACACAATAACAAATATTCAGATTTAAAAAGCACCACTAGAGGGCCCTAAAACATAGCAAAGAAAGAGCAAGAAAAAAGCAACATAGATCATGATATTTTTGCAAAGAATATTAATTATATTTTGATTCAAAATGATTCACGCTTGTTCCTTTCCCTGTGTGACATTTAAAACTGAATTTAAATGTAAAACCAACATCCCAGAGCAATGATAAAATGTACCTTAAGCCCTAGGCTTTTTTTCAGTCTATGCTCTTTTCCTTCCCACCACCAAAACACACACACAGTTTAGGAGCCTAAAGGGAAAGTTTATAACACATACATTTCTTTAGCTGGGAAGATAAGAGAGGAAGCAATTTGCAAAAGTTTATTTCCTAAATCTGTAAAACAAACAATCAGTTATTGATCAATTAAAGTAAATCTGCCTTTTGCCCATGTATACCAAAGTAACAGTTTCATATAATTGCCACCTAACCAAGTCACACATAGTTTCCTTTAGTTCAACAACTTCTCCAGGCACCCACAAAAGAACAACCTGGTACTTTGCTGCATGGGAGCATATGACACCCATTTCATCTCATGTGGCAGTGCTTAGTTGCTCAGCATTGTCACACAGGGTCCAGCCTTTAAGCCATGACTTACAAACATCAACAGGACTGTAGTAGATTTCTAGATAATAGTTTAACACACCAACAAGCAAAACCTTTGTGTCCACCATGACTCCAGTACAGGTGCCAAAAAGACACTCACAAACAGATATCACAAACATCTTTATAGAGTTTTGCGCTCCCTGTCCCTTTATAATTTTCACTGTATAGCTTACCACATACTCAACCACCACACGGTTTCAAATCTCCTTTGGAACACATAGCAACATACCTAAGAAACTCTTCGCTCCTCACAAGACCTCCTACTACTCTCTAGCTTCCTGGTCTCCTCCTCCCATGCCCGACTCCAGGACTTCTTCAGGTCTTCCCTACCTACCTACCCTCCTCACCTTTAGGTGCACCCTGAAAACCCGTCTCTTCAGGGAAGCCTACCCTGCTCTCACCTAACTGCCGATCTCCTCCACTCCTCCTACCACTCCATCCCCCACAGCCATTTCCTCTTGTACCACTATCCCCTCCCTCCTAAATTGTAAGCTCCAAGGAGCAGGGCCCTTGAACCCCTCGTGTATTGTATTGTTACTGTATTGTCTCGTGTACTGTCTCCCACTATAATGTACAGCACTGAGCAAACTTTTTGGCGCTATATAAATACTGTATAATAATAATAATTTTCCTTTCCTAGGCACACAAATCATAGCCCATCTAGAAGATCCCATTACATTCCCTGAACTAGAACTCACTGTTAAACAAAGACAAGGAAAGCACCAAGCCCTGATGGCCATACCCTTCCCTACTACAAACTTTTTTTTTTTCATACACTGCACTTCCTCTCAGCTATGAACATATTCAAGGAAGGCCATACCATCTCTTATGAATCCCCAGACGTGCACACAACAGTTACCCCAAAGGAGAGTTAAGTATCCCTTGGCATGTGCCAGTTACTGGCTAATCTCTTATCTGAAAATAGACACCAAGTTGTATTCTACATCAAAGGAACAAAATCATTCATTTAGACCAAAAGGGCTTCTACTAGAGAAGCAAAGTACTATCCAACTCAGCCTCTGATTGACATTCATTTGGCCCGAGGACTGTTTCTTTCTCTACACAAACACAGAGAAGACCTTTTGACAGGTTCACCTGGTCTTTTCTCTTCCTACTTTGTCTGCTAAGGTTTGAAGGAAGGGTTCTAATACCTTCTCAATTAATAAACGGGACTTAACAGGGTGGTCCCTTATCCTCCACTGTATTTGTTTTGACCCTGGAACCATTCTTACAATCCAAAACTAATATCTTGTTCTTCATATCTTCTCCTGAGGTTTCTCTCCCTAAACTCATATACTGTATTATCATTTAGGGACTTTGGTGCCTCTTAAATTTTCCCATTAACTATCAGAAATCAGAAGCCGACTGTCTTTCATTATCACCAACTTCTTATGCTAGACTCCAACAAAAATTTCCATCTGAATCTATCAAATACTTGGGGGGTTCACTTCCCTAAGAATCTTATCAAACATTGCCTCTGAACTATCCCACACTCTGCATAAAATCAGGACTGACCTTCAGACATGGGTACAGCTAACTTTCTCTTTGGATGGGCAAGTGTAATATTTTAAAACAAAACGTGTTTACTATGAGTCCGATGCTCCCACCAAAACTTCCTATACACATACACTATTCATAAATCCTAAAAAAAAGAAAATGAATGCAGCCACCACATATAAGAATTGGCAAGAAGCTGCAATATAATAAATGTCTGTTTTTGGGTTTAATACCACTTTAACTTCAGTGTTGACTAGGCCTGTGAAATAGTTTTTCTGAGCTCCAGTCACTTACTCGGCCCCTGCAGGTCATGCTTTAGGATTTCTCTCAATGACAGTGGTAATTATGTATCTTGTGACAGATTAAATAACCCAAGCAAGCACAACAGGATCTTGAAAACAATTTGTCTGGGTACTTGAGAACTGCCTAACTTTTAAATTTGGCAATTTTTTTCGTTCTCTAAACAGAATCATCATGAAATGACAACTGTCTTGAAGATCACCACGTTGAAGGAGACAAAAATCAGAATGACTCTTAAATTAAATGTGAGAAGAAAAGATTTAAAGTAGCAATTATATAGTTAAATAATTAAAACACAAAAGTCCAACTTATCCAATAAGTGTTTTATACAACCTCATCTAAAGATTATGATAACATTGGATCTTATGTTTGTAGATTTCTGTACAATTCTCTCTATGCGCAGAACATCCCTGGTCTGCTTGACATACAGTTTTCCTGGAGTATACTGCAATTGCTTCATAAATTAAAAATCCAATCAACTTACAAGTACCCCATCTGAAGATTTGTGGACAATACTGGCCCATATACACTGATCATCCTTCCTTCCATTACATGTTTCCTACATGCTTCTATGCACTGACAACAATGGCCCTGCTTGTGCATCAGTGGGCATGCAGGAATTCCATGTCTAAGAGGTGGATTGTACTAGCAACAAAAACATGACAGCAGAGAATGGCTGCTGATCCTTTTGTGTTTATTTAGAATGTGAAGCCCAACTTCAGATTTACCTAACCCCTCTCAGTACCCCTACCTACTCTACACAGTTTTTTTTTTTTTAATATAGGCATACATGCTGTAATTCCAAGTGTCTTCTAGCCAGTCATGTGACAAGCAAGGTCCTTCATCTTCTTCCCCAGCATCAGTTTTGTGAAGTTCTATCACAGGCTGTCTTGCCTGTATTTTTCCTACCTGTGTAATTCTTACTTGCTTGCTGCAGTTCTTCTTTTGGACCTGGATTCCTTTTACATGCCTTTCTTGGTTTATATGCTTATCTATGGGCATTATTTGCTATTCTGTGAGTTTATATTTCCTTTCCCTTCCATCACTTCCTGGCCAGCCTCCAAGTTTGCTTCCCTATACAAGACATGCAGCTCGCGTTGCCTGAGCAGCTTCCCAGTTCTCCAAGCTCCCTTTTGCCTACTATTGTGTGTAGGTTGCTTAAAATAACAAGAAATGGGCTTTAAGCAGGACATGCCAAACACATCACCAATGTAGAATGGTAGACAGGTTTTGACCAAGTGTGCTGCCACTAAACTATGCTTTTAACACTAGGAATGATTTGAGTGTTGATGTGCTTAAAAAAAAAATTACATTTCAGGAGACCTGACTTTACAGTTCAGGTTCACACTCGCCATGTGTGAATCACAGCTTTGGGCTTATCTCAGAGCAGATAATAGATGTTCTGCATATCAAATATCTTCAAAGCTGTGAACAGCACCTTCTGTATAAACTCAACACTTTCTAAAGCTTTCCCACAAAGAAATACTGTATGAAAGACGGGTGTTTAAAGATAAAAGACTCTGTCTCACCGCTCTCCTAACAGCCTGGTGCCTTAAGTACAAAAAAGGCACAGAGGTACATTGAACTTTCCAAGTCCTTAGCATTTGAATTAATAGTACTGGCAAAAGGCTTCATATTATGACTGAAAAAACATTTAAACATTCCCAAATGGAGACTCAAAAACAAAAATTATACACCTTTATTAAAACAGGATTTTTAGAAACCATTGTATTGTATATTCATTTCTGATTTATAGCCCAAATAAAAATCAGCAACTTTCAAAAATTTGTATTTACCCAAATATGCTGTTTGGTAGGATTACTGCCCAATTCAGCTTTGTATTTAAAAAGGCTTATCTGAAAAAAGATTGTCTGTCCAGTTCTGAGCGTTACACACAGCTCTGCTAGAATGTACAGCCAGCCTGGTGACTTAAAGCAGAGCTCCACCCAAAAGGGGACGTTCCGCTTTAAGGACTGCTCCCCATTAAGGATTGGCACCTTTGGGGAGCGGGTACCTGAATTTGACAGGTACCCGCTCCCACTTCCGGTCCGATCGCCTAGGCGAGCGGAAGGTGTCCTCCCTCCCTGTAGTCTTTTGGGACACGTGACAGGTCACAGAAGACTACAGGACCATTCATGAAGTGCAGCGCTACTCGCACATGCGCAGTGGGTACCCGGCTGTGAAGCCACAAGCTGGCACAGTCGAGTGCCCACACTGAAGATGCCAGGACGGCCGGTGAAACGAACTGTGGGGGACACACCATGGGACCGAGGGACAGGTAAGTGAGCAGCTACAGTTTTTGCTACAGTTACAACTACAGTCGGTACAGACAGAGGGTCTGGGGTTATGCAGCCTCATAGAATAGTCAGCGCAAAATAAAAACCCCTCCTGCAAGCTATGACCAGTGCTCGGCTGGACACTGAGAGAAGTCTTAAAACTGGTATATACTGCTGATGAGAAAAGATATTTAGCAGTTTATATTTACTAGAATAATTGCGCATCCATGTTGTGTGTACTGTGGGAGACCAGATATAGTGAATGCCGGGTCCTGGGTTTAGTAACACTTTAAACTTACTATTTTTTCCCTGTTGTTGTTTAGCATATATTTACGCACCATTATATCCTGGAACAGGCTTCCCTGCTTGTCCTGCAGGAGGTGTCAGTGAATTCCCAAGTCCTATACACGTTGCTGTGATGGAAGATCCAGTTTCTAAAAGACAGATTAGTTAAGATATTTATTCAGCTTATGAAAAAGTAACACAGAAAAGAGAGCACTTCTTTCCAGGCCATTCCATAAAATAGACAATGGCTAGTTAGTTAAAAGGGAACCTATCACTGCTCTTCCCGCCTCAAGACCTTTATAGTATACTGTATGTAAACCCTAATCACTAATAAGTTTGAACATGATAAAGTAATTTTAAAAGGCATTTTCAATATTTTGAAATCTGCAGTGTATATTAAAATACCACCTGACAACTGTACTAGGAAGGTCTTTATTAGGTATTTCCTGTTATAGGGTGGCAACGCTCTTTCTCAGTTTCCCAATTGTACGCCTATGTTATGACAAAAGCTTCCAAAGGAAGCAAAAAACAACGCAGTTCGGAAAATGGTATGCCAGAGTAACACACACTGCAAAGGGGGCAAATTTATTTTAACTAAATGTCACTAGTTGCACCAGTTGGATATTCAAGTGGACTGGTTTATACTTCTGGATGTTTGCCATGTACTGTATAAAGCCTCATTCACATGGGCAGATTTTTTTTTATGCGTTCTCAGAGGGCAGCCCTTTCAAACCTATGAGGACACAGTGACCTTTCAGACACAGTTGTTCATCTTTATTTGACAGGTGTGGTGTCGAGCAGAGCCGAACAGAAACAGTTTGCATGCCAGCCTTTGCTCCAACAGTCCCGTGTTGGCATCTTCTCTCTGGCTTCTTTCAGGTGCCAGTCTTTGGATGTCTTGATTGGCTGGCATGGCATGAGGTCAATCCCCACACATTTGGGGGAGTCACTCATTTTAGACACACTGGCACAGTGACAGAAATGTAAATAGAGCTACAGAAGATTGTAAGCAGGTAGGTAAGTTTCAGTTATGCTTTAACCCCTTCAATCCTAAGGGTGAAACAAATCTTATTGTCTAAGCACAATTTTGCAACATTGACATGTGTTGGTAAAACCGTACATATCATCACAACTACATCCAGGTAGATTATACCTTGATTTTTTTCAGGACAAATTGGGCTTTCATTTGGTGGTACATGGTAATTTTTTGTTTATTATCAAAGGAAAACTGGCCCAAAATAGTAAAAAAAAAAATCTTTTTTTTAATTTAGTTGTAGGTTTCTTGTTACTACCATAAACCTACCACCAAAGAATAACCCAAAATAAATTTCTCAGCTCTTGACAATTGCAGCGACACCATATATGTGTATGTTATTTGTTGTTTGTACCCGTAGTACAGCCCACAAACAATAGTGCACATTTTGTTTTTTTGTTTACCTAAAACACACTGACACTAATACCAATAGAAAAAAAAATAACCTGACCTTTTGACCTTGACCTATGACCATGACCCAAATACTTATCCTGGCACTGAACTAGATCAAACCTTGATCTAGGTATTTTTTCTTTATTTTTTCTTTTATTTTTTAATATTTATTTATCTTTCTTTTTATTTTATTTTAACAAACATTTGTTTCCCCTCTATGCCAATGTAATCTCTCTGCCATTCATAGAGAGAGAAAACAAGGGGGCCAAGGCTGTACAGTGACTGATCACTCTGATAGCCAATCAGAGGCCATCACAGCTATTATATGACCCAAAATCGTGAGTCCCAGGTCCCGATCGTTAGAACAGGACCCGGGGCTCTCAGTGACACCTGTGTGGCGCGCTCACAGCAGAAAGACATGTATGCAAAGATGCAGCCCCACAGAAAAAAGTCTAGTTTTGTGAGGCCGCATATTTGTGTTACGTTGGCGTCAAGGGGTTAAGCCTTGGGTCACACCAAATGCAACACTGAAATCGTGCTACACTTGAAGTAGCGCATTTTAAAGCCGCTAACCCCGTGTAACTTCATATGCGGCTTGCCAGATATCTGTGTGACTTCATGCATAGTTGTCAATACAAGTAGCAGCTGAAATCGCCCAAAATAGTGCAGGAAATGTTTTCAAAATCGGTGTGACTTTAACGGATTTGGACAGTTCCTTTGCCGACAATAGGGTGTCATGTATTTTGGAACTGTCAAATCGCATGAAAAGTCGCACTGGTGTGAACCAGGGCTAAAGGAAATTGAAAAATAACAGACTAATTGGCCCAATCACAGGTGAAAGTACAGGAAAAAAAAGACTAAAAAAGAAAAACTATTAATTGGTAAGTTGCAATATATTTAATGTAGAACAAAAGGCAAACATGTTTTCTCATTTTTGGTAAGGGAGGTTATAACCCGTCAGTTTTTTTTTTTTTTTTTTTCAGGGGTTGTCCCATCTGTCCCACTGGGGAGATTTCCCATCACTTCCTACAGCCAACAGAAAGTGAGAAAATCCATATTCCTGTTCTGGTATCAACCCAAATATGTGATTTTCTTCAACTTTCACTTTCGGTGATAATGGTAAACAAGGCAAGTAAGAGGGTGAATCTCCCTAACGAGGGCACGGTCAGCAAACCAAAACTGTGTTCTGATCCCTCTCCACTCTATCCAAAATGAAAAAAAAAAAAAAAAAAAAAAAGCTTTGCCTTTAGTTCCACTTATACTTTTGCTTTAAGCTTTTACATTTCATATGAAAAGGTTCATTTTTAACTCTTACATTTTTATTTCACTATGCGGATTTTCTTCCTAAGGCCAGTATGCTATGGTTTGTTTCTGTAAATGTAACTTAGGATTTTTCAAGTCTCTATCAAAAGCAGCAGGCTGGTAAAGATTTTAGTGGAGTGGCGGATATACTTTGAACCATATTTTATGAAGGAAAAAGTAAATATAAAAAGGTGCATAAATAAGTTTTTAACAAGTGTGGAGCTGAGTGTGTGACAAAGGACCGGCTAGTGATCCTTCCAAAGATAAGCAGCATAAACAGCACTGGCCCCATCTGCTGCCTCTTTCGTAACCTCTACATTAGGGGTACTGAATTAAAACTCATGGAGGTCCGACTAGTAAAATTTTCTTCCAACAGAAGTCTGAACCACATTTTTTTTTTATTCAGCGCTCTCCTACTGTATATCACAATCCCTATACTTCAGTGTCCGCGTATCCCGCCCCCCCCCCCCCCCCCCCCCCAATTTCACATCAGTTTTCAACTTCACAGTAGTGTTCTTAGGCCCCTTGCACATCACCTCCACCCACCACTTTACAGTACACCTCCATTATTTTCAGCAGTACTCAACCCCCATTCAATTCATTAACAATCATCTCTGCCCTTTTCACATCAAACCCCCCCCACACACACACAGACACACCATTGCCCCCTTCACACTCCACCCCCAGCAGGTATTAACCAGCAGGCGATTGGCTGCTAGCACTACCCTGCTTCCAATCAGCCACTGGTTAACTCAAAAACTTAATCCCGGCAGCTCTCGTGCTCTATTCAATGCTGTGCTTCCTGCATCCGATCCAAAATGTTCTGACAGCTCCCGCGATCTGTTCAATACTGTGCTGTTATTCCACACTCGCTACAAAAATGTTCTGGCTCCTGCTGTCCACACTGCTGTTATAACAGCGGTGGAAGATGTGGGGAAAGAAGCGGCTCCTAAATGGCGTGATCGGGTCCAGATGAAAAAGTGGCTAGGTCAGCATCTGGACCACAGTCCGCCATTTAGTGATGCCTGCTCTACATTAACTCTTTTGGTCTCCTCTACATTGACTTAAACATGGCAAACATACCAGGGAGTGCTCTGGAGATTCAAACCGGCCCTCTACCTATTCATCTATGTGTAGAGAGATTCTGTATATAGCCCTACAGAACACAGAGTACACAGTCCACATGTGTTTATCTGCTGCTTCCCTGCAAACAGGAAACAGGAACTGTATTCAGAGAAAAGACAGAATACCACCATAGATGCAGCTACAAGCGTATAAATACTGCCATCTACTGGTTGAAGATTATATCTCTACTGAATACTGATGTACAGTAGTTGTTGCACAGAATACATGAACTTTGTGTTCCAGCACTATGACTAAGGCCCTTTGCACAGTGCAGCTTGAAAAAGCACAGTATAGCGTTTTTTTGTTTTGTTTTTTTACTGATTTAAAATGCAGCCTATTGTTTACAATGTGCCTGTACACACAAACATGTAAACAAGCACTGCATATTCTTCTTTAAAAAATAAAATGATAAAAAAATCTGTGTTCCTGGTTAATATTTTGTGCCAGTACGCACATATGCATGCAAATACACACATAGGAGCATAAATATGAATGGATTTTGCATAGGAATGTATTATAAGCATGAATACGCATATGAATACGCACAAATATGCACAAAACAAATATCTGAAATTATGTCTACAAGTGCAAATGGTCTAACATTAGTACCATGTGCAAGAGGCCTAACTGAACGTATCTAAGCAAACCTTTACAATCCACATTATGCTGATAACCAAGAGAACATTTACAAAGCTGTAAATGCAAAAAATATGGATGCACAGAAAATAAACACGTAAAAAAAGTAAAGTCAAAAATGACTCTCTCAGTGTAACAGCTTAAAAAATGTGTATTTATGCTTTTGGATGCAACTCTAGCAAAGAAGCACGAGAATTAATACAGTATGCCTATGTGATCTACAATTATGAGAGCCTGAAACTGTATGCTAATAATAGGCCCAACTACCCAGTAGTCCATAGACTACTGTAAAATTTGCAATCAATTCTGTTGATAAGTATTAAAGTGTTACTAAACCCAGGACCCTGTATTCACTATATCTGGTCCCCACTGCACACACTACAAGGAAATGCAATTATTTTAGTAAATATAAACTGCTAAATGTCTTTTCTCATCAGCAGTTAGAGCAGTCTTGTGACTTCTATCAGCGTCCAGCAGAGCACATGTTAACGCTTAAGGGAGGAGTTTTCTTTCTGCTCTAGGAGGATGCAGAACCTCTGACCTATGTCTGGACAGTGCTGATTGGCCCTTTGCTGATCACTCTCCCAAGAAGCATTGAGCATGTGTAGAGTGTCTCCACACGATATGTCTTACCAGGAGATAAGAGGGAGACACTGGAAGAAGGGGAGGATCAGAGAAGTCAGGATCAAACATCCTTTTTACACAATGCAGAGCATTAACCCCTAAGTTTCCACAGTGAGTATATCAAGCATACTTTACCGCATATAGAGACGGATTTTACTGTTGTGGGTTTAGTAACACTTTTTTTAATGGAGGGCAAATGAAGGTTGAATAGAGTGCTGGAACTTAAACCAGCCTCACACACAAGTCCTTCTGGTAAATTCCAGAGATGTCACATGACCGACCTGTGTCTGTTATCAGCCATTACAGTATAAGAGCTGGAGGACAGAAGGTTTTTGTACTTGAAGCTTATCTAAACCCAAGATATAAAGTGAGATATTGCAGCTTACCTGTCCTTAGATATGGTGATTGTATTAGTTTTATTTTTCATTTGTTTACTTTATTTCACCTAGTAACACGTTCTGTCCTAGCGAGTGACATTGTCACCCTAGGACAGTATGGACCGTGTGGTAAGATTATTATTATTATACAGGATTTATATAGCGCCAACAGTTTGCTCAGCGCTTTACAATAGAATTAAAAAACACATTCCTCCTCTTCGCCTCCATTACAAAGATGGGGGGTATACTTTGTAATTCCTAGAAAATAGCTGGAAACGCTGATGAACACTGCATGAGATTTCAGTTAATTGCACGGAAAACTACAAGGCCACTGGCAAAAATGTTTATAAAAAATAGTTTTTAATTGAAAAAAAGAAAAAAAATGAATGCAGCCAGCACATCTAAAGACTGGTAAGCTGCAATATACAGTATTACATTTTTGTGCTTGCGTTTGGTTATACTTTATATTATTGGAGGAATACATATTTTTTTTTCTCCTGAGTAGTTAAAGCTTGTCCTTTGTAAATTCACATTCCAAAAGCAAAATACAATGCCTTTAAAATGTTAGTAACAAATACAAGATTGAATGTCCTTTCCCATGCACACTTTAGGATGTGGATGGAAATTTACATGAAACTGATGTTCTGGAGCTGGTAAAACTATATCTAAGGGAATTGGCTTAGTCTGAAGAAAATGCTGACGCTGCCTTTTGATTATTGTATTGCATTATTACAGAACTCAAAGCAGACAATTCTGATTTGAGCCACCAGAGATATTATATCTGCAGGAAAAGCATTACTTCTAAAACTGAACTGCCAAAAAGATCAAAGGAAAGAAAAACTTTGCTTGTGCACAAAACAGTAGTTTGACAATTCTTTTGTTCCAACTTTCAAAATCATCCCCCATTTTTCAAACAATATATACGTCTGCATTTGTATGAAAGTTTGAATATTCTTATTTGATTTTTTTTTTTTTTTTTAACTACAGACTTTTCCAATTCCCTCTTTACCCTCCAGACTATCCAGGCCAGTGGCCCTCAAACTGCAGCTCTTTGTTTGCCTTTCATCAGCCCTCAAGGCTCTATTCCTCCTCCTCACAAAAACAATGGGGCACAATTCATCCCACTGAAACCAACAATGGGGCAGTGTCCTTCCAAATGACACCTAGGATGGGTGTGTAGTGACATCGTAGCCCCTCCCCTACATGTTACTCCGCAGGTCACGCGGCTTCATCAGGGAGTTGTGATTGGCTATCCTCCTAACACACAGGGGAGGGGCTATGACGTCACTACACACCCGTGGACGGCGAGTATACTATGTGTGCAGTGCACACAGTTGTCAGTTGTCTGCAGTTGATTTTAAACAAAGCGGTTTCTTTATCTTATCTAATGTGAGTGCATTTGGGCACGCAATAAAGCATTTTAGTCCTTAAAAGGATAAGGCACTATGTCTGTACTTTTTCTTACTGAGGAACATCTAAGGAGGAGATAAAGATCAGGAGAAGAAGTGAAAGATCCCTGCAGGGATAGTGGCAAGGAGGATAAGAGCATTGGGAAGCAATTAAGGGATACCCACCACTCTTCACATGGTGCAACAGAATTTCTAAAAGTTCCATATGTGAACAAAAAGTGAAGTAAGCCTGTTACAGGCTGAAAAGGAGGTGAGCGCATAACCTAATCACAATAAGAAGTCACTGGGAATTGCAATTACTTATTTTTGATCACTTTTTGGGTTTTATCACTTTTATACCAATAGAGACTTTTTTTTATTTTTTATTCACTTTCACAATTGTTTTTTTTTTTTTTGGATCACATATTTTGGGACTATCACTATTAAGTTGGTACCAGAGACTTTATGTTTTTTATTATTACTTTTTAATTTTATTGATTTGTTTGTCATTTGCTCTAAATTATATATTCTGATAGTTGCATAATTACTATATGGGTAATAATTGATAATAATTAGGAGCGCAACATTTATTGAAAAACTATTATTCTTACTGACACCAACAATGGGGCACTTATGCTCCCACTGACACCAACAATAGGGCACTATTGCTCCTACTGACACCAACAATGGGGCACCATTCCTCTTCCAACTACTGGTACTATTTAATTTCATCTGCCAACCCTGGAGCATTTTTTACTCCCTCTGACCACTGAGCTTCAGGTGTTGTTTAGTCCCATTGACACTGGCTCACAATCTGGCTCAAGTCTGAAGGACAGTGTACTGGCCCTTTGTTTGGAAGGTTTGCTCTAGACAAAACAAAAATGTGTGAAGATATGCATTATATAATAAAGATATCCTGTCAACAACTTTAAAATAATAATTTTTAATATGTATAATCACAAAATAACCAATAGCTTTTACTACTCCATGCAATAGCCTCTCCAGGCTTGCATAAGTCATGCAGGAGCATCTGTTGATGCAGGCACCCCCCCTTCATCATCCCAGATCTACATCACCCAAGACTCTTCTTCACACAGTGCGTGGGCAAGACCTTGGGAGTCAAGGAAGCAATGTTTTGCTGGGAAATAAATCAATGTATGCATGTGGAATGGGGCAGATAAAGGTGGAGCTCTGTGCTCTAGCAGGACAGGGCTAACAACCCTGATTGGCATTTTAGTGCAGCAAAGGCACTGTGTTGTTCCAAACAGATAGTTAAGAGCTCTCTGGATTTCTGAGAATATTAAATGAGTTAAAATCTCATGAACACCTTTGTTTAGCCAGTAACATACTGTACATTTTATTGACTGGTAGTTTTGGCACTTCTGTTATGACTAAACACTGGCTCTTCAGATTTGCCCACCTGTTTGCCACCAATGATCCAGCACTGGTACTTTGAAGACACTTTTGGCCCACTCCAACGTTTCCACATCACAGCGCTCTCCAGCAACAAACAATGTACGGAACCTGTTTAAAATGACAAGCAGTACAGCATAAATATTGGTGTAAACATGAGTATCCAGTTTGCTTCAAAGCACATACATGACTTTTTTCAAGATCCTTATATTCACTGAAATGACTTTATGGAAAAGAGATGTCTAGCTCATAGCAAAATGTAACCTACAATCTGTTTTGAAAAAAAGTGTCAGCCAGAGATGAGAACCTGAAGAAAATGGTATGACTTAAATTGTAACCAGTTTTCTTTTTCTTAATATTTTGTTACATATGCGATGTGCTAACTTTTAAGGTTAATGTGACATGAGCGACCTAAGCACCAGTGATTTGCCAGAATTGCTAGCGGTAGGAATACTAAGAAGTTGCTTGTTTTTTATCTATGAAATAATCCCCTCTGTAGCTGAGGCAGCGAGTTATCATTCCCATTGCTAGCAATCAAATTCAACAGTGTTTGGGCTAGCAACATGCAGGAGTCAAGTGTATGTACACTTACTGAGTCAGGGGTTATGTACATAGTGCAGGAGTGTGTACACAACAAAATGCAGGGCCAAAGTCATGAGTATGTAATGCTCAGGGTGCAGAGATCAGGAGTATGTAATGCAGAGTGCAGGGGTCAAGGTGCAGGGGTCAGGGGTAAAGTAGAGAATGCACGGGGCAGGAGTGCATGACGTATAGAGTGCAAGGATCAGGAGTTTGTGATGTATAGAGTGCAGGGGGCAGGAGTGAGGCATGTACAGAGTTTGGGGGGCAGGAGTAAAGGTAAATTATTGCTCAGTGAACAGAATGCAGGGGTCAGGAATATATACACAACATAGTAGACAACACCACCGGTGCTTCATTTTATCCCTATTATTCACAGCACACAAGTATCCCTTATGAGACAGTCTGACCACGCACACACACACACCCATACATACACACAGTTAGACCCACATACAGTCACATTTATACACATGCTCATATACATACACCGTCACATGAAGATATATTTAAATGGTATATAATATGACCATAGGGACTACGTGAGAAGCTGCCAATAATGCTATATATTACTAATGAAGCATGTTAAGTCAAATTCCTTCCTTCAAGCAGACCCCTAATAAATGGAATTGACTCCCTCTCGGCTAGAATTGGAGAGTATATAGATTGTTATCTGCAACCACTAGTGACACATACTCTAGCATTCCTAAAGGATTTTAAACATATCATTCAATTAATTCAAAATATAGAACCTACCTACAATACTATTATAAGTACAGCTTATGCGTCAGCTCTTTATACTAATATAGACCATAAAGGGGCAATACAAGCAGCAAAAGAAGTTTATTATCAAATGTCTAACATTCTGCCTAAAACACAACTACTTCTGGTTCAATTGAGAATATTATCTTTAAACAATGGGAGTAGCTATGGAAGCAAAATTTTCTCCCAGTATAGCAAATTTATTTATGGCTCAATGGGAAGAACAGATGAAATTCAACAGAAATAAAAAGGAAATTGTATTGTACAGAAGGTTTATAGATGATCTGATAATCATATGGCAGGGAGATGCGAGTACGCTACAAGAATTCTTGGACATTTTCAATTAGAGTAATAAAGATATTAAATTAAGTTGGACATCAGTAATCAGAGTATACACTATCTGGATATAGAAATTGTTAAAGGATAAAAATAACCTTTATAGAAAAACATATTTCAAGAATACTGACAGAAATGCCTATATCCCTGCAATGAGCTGTCACTTTAAACCTTGGCTCACTAACATTCAGAGAGGGCAATTTATGCACATTAAAAAAACTGCACAAGTATATGTCTGATTATGCTCTACAGACTCAGGTTATAGCGAATAGATTTATCCAGAAAGGATACTCATCAGCAGAAATTGAGAGAGAAAGAAATAAAGTAGGAGAAATAGACATAAATACCCTACTACAGGATAAGGTACCCACTGATAAGGAAGAATTTAATGTACCAGTGGTGTTCAGATATAATACACAATATATAGCAGTAGAGCACATTATAAATAAGCATTGGAGTGTATTGCGACATGACAAACATTTAAAAACTATAATACCTGAACGCCCCAAATTCATATATAATAAAGATCCCAATTTAAGGGATAAGTTGGTCAAAAATGTTAGAGCCCCCTGGTACCACAATCCATCCCATGTTTTTCCAGGGAACTGGATTTTTTGCATGTGGGATATGTTATAGTTGCAGTTGAGTCAAAAATAATTCCAAAAAAAGATCATCTTTCCAAAACCCAAGGACACAAAAGGAATATAGTATAAAACAATTTATATCCTGTGACAACAAAAGGAGTGGTGTATGCCCTAAAATGTCCCTGCAACCCCCTATATAGGCAGAACAAAAAGAGCTTTGAAAGAACGAATAAAAGAATATGTTTATAATATCAATACAAACATCACCATCTATCGCTACACTTTCGAACCACACATGATAAATATGCTAGCCTGTTAGAATTCTGGGGTATAGAGAAACACACTAGTCACTGGAGAGGAGATAATAAAGTAAGGGAATTTAGCAAAAAGGAATCAAAATGGATATACAAAATTAATTCCCTGGCCCCAATGGGTCTCAATAAGGAATTTGACTTAACATGCTTCATTAGTAATATATAGCATTATGGAAAGTTTCTCACGTAGTCTCTATGGTCAAATTATATACCATTTAAATATATCTTCATGTATAACATCCACATGAAGAGAGGTTGTTTTTAAATATTGTCTCAGCACATTGTTGATTTGTTTTTTAAAAAAATATTGATTCAAGGTTCCATAAACTGACATAAAATCATAATTTTTAATTCTTAACTTTTAAATTTATAGATAATTTCCCCTATGCATTCTCATTTAATTAAATTTTAAATAAATATATCATTTCCTTTTGGTAGTTTAATAAATTGTATTTGATAAATATTCATGTAATATATATATTTTTAACAGACATAGTATTTTATATTATATATAATCTTGTGAATAAATGTTTTATACATTTTTATTTTAGTGTTATATATTGAATAGTGCAGCTTTTGATGTTTATTTAAATAATATAATACTAAGTTTTGGTTGCATAGACCATTCTGTAGGATTGCGGGCAAAATAGTAGTGGATACCATGCCAACAGCCCAGTGAGGGAAGTATGGTACAAAATTCCCAATGGTTTATAAAAGGTTGCACATACAGTTTGTCCAAAATTATTCAACCCCCAATGCTGTAAATAGGGACTATATGTACATTTGGAATTGTATTCAGAATCAAATCCTACAAGGACGTTTAACTACCCAAATGCAACTAAAATGACATCAATTGTTTGTAATACAGTAGTAAATGGTTCTTATGTGGTTTCTTCATTGCCACAATTATTCAACCCCTTAAAGACTACCACTCTGAAGAACAGAGGTTCATACAGGTGCTTTCCATCAGGTATTGAAAACACTGTGGATGTCACCGAGCAGCAATCAAGCATAATAAGCACCAATTAGGCAGCTTTAAAATGACTGTGATACTCAGCTCCTTCTAGACATTTACTGGTGTGGTTACAAACATGGTGAAGGCAAGAGAATGGTCCAGGAAGACAAGAGAAGAGGTGATTTCTCTTCACAGGAAGGGCAATGGCTATAAGAAGATTGCAAAGATGTTAAACATACCAAGAGACACCTTAGGAAGCATCATTCGCAAATTCAAGGCAAAGGGCACTGTTGAAACGCTACCTGGTCGTGGCAGAAAGAAGATGCTGACTTCGACTGCTGTGCGCTACCTGAAGCGTAGAGTGGAGAGAAGTCCCCGTGTGACTGCTGAGGAACTGAGAAAAGATTTGTCAGATGTGGGTACAGAAGTTTCAGCCCAGACAATAAGACGCACACTGCGTAATGAAGGCCTCCGTGCCAGAACTCCCAGGCGTACCCCCTTGCTGTCTCCAAAGAATAAGAAGAGTCGACTGCAGTATGCCAAAAGCCATGTGGACAAACCACAAAAGTTGTGGGATAGTGTTCTGTGGACTGATGAAACAAAATTAGAACTGTTTTGGGCCCATGGATCAACGCTATGTTTGGAGGAGGAAGAACAAGGCCTATGATGAAAAGAACACCTTGCCTACTGTGAAGCATGGTGGAGGGTCAATCATGCTTTGGGGCTGTTTTGCTTCTGCAGGTACAGGGAAGCTTCAGCGTGTGCAAGGTACCATGAATTCTCTTCAGTACCAGGAGATATTGGATGGAAACGTGATGCAGTCCGTCACACACCTGAGGCTTGGGAGACGTTGGACCTTTCAACAGGACAATGATCCCAAGCATACCTCCAAGTCCACTAGAGCATGGTTGCAGAGGAAAGGCTGGAACATTTTGGAGTGGCCATCGCAGTCACCAGACTTAAATCCGATTGAGAACCTCTGGTGGGACTTAAAGAAAGCAGTTGCAGTGCGCAAGCCTAAGAATGTGACTGAACTGGAGGCCTTTGCCCATGAAGAATGGGCGAAGATATAGATCGCTGCAAGACACTTGTGTCAAGCTATGCTTCACGTTTAAAAGCTGTTATAACTGTAAAAGGATGCTGTACTAAGTACTAAGATTGAATGTCATTGGGGGTTTGAATAAAACTGATAATGCTGTGAGCACAGAAAAACATTTGTGGTTATTTCATTATAACTGTTATGTTATATTTGTCTGACCTACAAGTGCCTCTTTAATGTAAATGTAAGCAAGATGACTGAATGATCAAAAGCAATGTCAAACTGGCCAAAACACTCAATTTCAGTGGGGGTTGAATAATTTTGGACACAACTGTATCACCAAATAATATATACAGATGCTGTTTAAAACATTTTGTGTACAATAGCAAAAAGCAGCAGTGATTTAGAGAAAGTTTTTTTGTTATGAAGCTACTAAGTAATATTACATGAGGGCATTCAATATGGCTCCTGTATATCACCCAGCTATCTTATGGCAAGTGACAGGTTGACTGTATAAATAATGGACATAATATTGTTAAACC